TTATTGCAGAATTTTGTGATGACTCTGCAACGTCACTTGTTCAACCTAAATTTTACATGAACAAGTTGGAGTTTCTGAAGAATTTAATGTAACTACATGATAACTTGTTAAGGCAGTTGTTTTAGACGGAATATTGTTCTGGCGTATATGATATGAAATTATAAGTATAACATTTTTCTCAGAATTTACACTTTGCTTGACGTATTTCTAGGTGAATATAGAGTAAACAGAACAGAACACTTACTACCACTTTCGTGTGGCGAATGATTATGTGGGTCTTTTAAGTGCTCCCCGCGAGTAGATTCCATCAAGCTTCAGGTACACAAAACTACATTTTCAGAACAAAAAAGTGAAACTTGTTTTGTGTTTCCCGCCGTAGAGCTCCCCGGGGCGCCACATAATTCGAGAGCTTAACAAACGACCGGGATAACACATGGGCTCCCGGAGAATATCTTCCTTTCCATGCTAACAACGAAATAGCTACCACCAAGAGATTGCTGAATGGAAATGAGTAGGTAAACAAAAGCATCAAACTTTATTGTCGCTAAAATAACAAGGGCCGTTTTATTTTGCCTCTCAGATTTTTAGAGCTGGAGACCTATGTGAAATAGACAATGGAAACATCATTTTAATATTTGTTTTGTAAAAGAAGTATTAGAATATGATCAACGACCTCGAAAAGATAGCTAGTAGTATTTCGGGGACAGTGCTTTTGTACCTACTTAGTTATAAGGGGGTTCTGAAAAGATCATTTAATCTATACTAAAATATTATAAATGCGAAAGTAACTCTGTCTGTCTGTCTGTCTCTCTTTCACGCCTAAACCACTGAACAGATTTTGATGAAATTTGGCATAGAGATAGATTGAGTCTCGGGAAAGGACATAGGATAGTTTTTATCCCGGTATTTGAAACAGGGACGCGCGCGATAAAGTTTATCTGTGACAAACCAAATTCCACGCGGCCGAAGCCGCGGGCGGAAAGCTAGTTACATTATAAAGTAAATAATACCCAGGTCAAAAAGGTATGAGTACGTACTTACTATCGATGTTACTGTATATTGCCACATGCGTACAATTGTCGATGCGATGCGCCTGAGTGTTTACTGAGATACGACGCAACTATGCGACCTTGCTCTCAATTAAAACTTCAGATAAATCTTAAGATGTAAACATACTATTCTATATTTCTGTGTATTACAATATATCTCGACAAATAAAGACAGTCATGTTCATGCAAACATAATTTTCATTGATCGGGGATCGAACCCGCTACCTCTGGCATAGTCCGGTACGGTGACTACTAATCTCACGAATAAATCATAGCCATAAGAAGGACCCCACAGACTTCTGTGCTTACGACTTCATAAAGGCCAATAATTGTATTATACTCCCTTATTAATAAAAGTTACATGCGCGTTGAACACTTGTTTAAAGTGACTAAACGTCACTTATGGAACTGTTATTTTTAACTAAGTACCTACTGTTCATTGCGTGGGGGTGTGAATTCGAATTACTTCTTACGCAACTTACTTCTTAAATACCTACACCTGCATCTAATTGAAACTTCTTTGATGTCAATCCGCAGCATCCGATCGAGGGCAGACGAACTCATTGAACTGTGCAGCAGAGAAGTTGTCTTCAGCCGATCTTCGGAGTCACTGTCAAAACTTGTTCGGAAACTCGCAGTAGTTTTCCGCCTGATTTGGTATTGTTGCGAATTTAGCGCGCAGTCAAAGCGTGCTGTTCAAACGGCGAAGGCACTAAATTAGACGCAACTTTAGAAATGTCCGTTTGCCGGCGATTTATTTATGTCATATGTCTTGGTAATTTATTGACTTCCCATCTTGCAATTGTTGGTTAGCTGTACAGAACGCGTCTGTTTAATGGCACGTACTTAAGTTACTGTAGGGAGTGTGAAGATAGACTAACTACGAGGTGCTACGAGTTAGTTGATTTTTGTAACTAAGTATTAGCGGCTTTATTTCAAAAGAATCGACAACATGTCAAAAGTTGACGGTAATGTCGGCGGTTCAGCGTTTATGTAGACTGCATTAGGTAATATTAGCACTGCCAGTTTTATTTTATTTATTTGTAGGCTTATTGGTAACTAATCAATATTAACTTTGTATGGAGTACAGGGGTTCGGGTCCGACTAAAAAATATAGACAAAGTGTGTAATATTGATTCTTGATGATATAAAACCATGTCAATTAATCTAAAATAGGTAGCTCTTTCTAAACAAATTAAGCCGTTAAGCTAATGAAATGGATTTTACATAAGGTACTTGATACAAATAAGGCCTACCTAACTTTAAATGCTTATATTTCAATAAATATTAACGCCAGTCAACAAAAACAAGGTTAATTAACTTGTTCCATCCTTTAATTTTAGCAATATTACAAAAAATAACAGAATTTTTAACTAAATCTATTCAAAATAAGCAAATTACGAAACCACTGATTTTGGCTTTAATAAATCACCTACACGGAATAAGGCCTATATGATTCAAATGCCTCTAGACCTTAAATTTGAGGTTGTATTCAAACAAAATGCGGTCTTATAACATTAAACACGTCGATTTGTTTGCGTTATCAAAATTTAACATACCAAGTAAACAGAAATATACTGTATATCTCTAGATAAACTTAAATTCCACTTATTAAGAATAATACATAAATTATAGATAAAATTAAATATTCATAGTAACAAAGTAATGATTCCTTACTTAAATTGTCAAAAAAAATATCAAAAACAAACAATATAATTTTTTTGTATAGGGCTTATTAAAACACCGTGTTCGAATAAGGCCTACACATAAAACCTTTTAAATAACTCAGTTTAGGAACATCATTTAGTCTTGAATTTTTGTAAACAAAATGAGATCTCAATTTTTTGTTAGAACCAGGGCATAAAAAGGCTTCTGAATCATCTTTACGAACTCCTACACAATCTTTGTGATACCACCAAAAGCAGTCCTTTATGGTAGCATATCTGCTACATTGTCTTCGAGACAGGCATGACAATACCAGCTTTTATTCTCCTTTCCTTTAGAATTATACATACGGCTTTTTTTCTTATTTTTTATTGGTTTTTTAGTTTGTTTCTTTTTTTTACAGGTTTAGTATTTTTTTTCGACTCTGTTTTCTTTTTCTTTTCTGTGCTGTTAGTAACATTGTCATTAAATAAATATTTAGTTACTCTTTGACTCATTTATTTTAATGAATTTGTCCGTAATCAGGTGTTGACATAAGTATCTAATATGGCCTACCATGCTGAAATAAGGCCTAGGCCTTATTAGGTATCTCGCTCTTGTTGTCTTTAAAATTTTACAAATAATGCATCTATAGCCAGTAGTACAAATTAAGGTAATTATTAGCTAGTAAGAAATATTTAGAAACGATTACTAAGAAAAGCTTAATCTAAAACAGCGTCATTTTACCGAAAATTCAAAATGAAATCGCCAGATTTTTATAAGAGAGCACGAAATCACCCACCACCTTATAAGAACGCGTGCCAATTGGTGCTGGGATCGTGGATCGAGACGCTCTTGCACTCTACCGGGTTGTAGGGCATATGAGTACCTGTCCTTGAAGTATTATCCCGGTTGGATTTATTTATCTGTGTTTTCTGATGTATAGGCCTTATTAGAACGTAGGCCTTATTTGTATCAAGTACCTTATTTTTTATCATTCGCTTAAAACAAGATTTTTGCCTATTTCTAAAAGCACTTCTAGCACCTTGCCACTCTTAAAAGCCTAATTCAATAAACTTGTAGTAATGCTTGGGTGTTGTGGTAATTTTCTGAGTTGTTCCATTTGTGCCGTGTTATTCAGTATGAAATGCGAAGGGGCTATTACGGTGTCAAGGGTAGGCGACAGCGGGTTTAGAACGGGTTTCGGTCCGTGACATTTGGGGAGACTGGGCAAATGGGACTTTGACTCAGGTGAAAATTATATTAGTGATATGAATTTGTGGGTTCATTGCCCACCATTAAAACAGATGTTTAAAGTGAACAGTTAAATTTAGTTTCTAAATAACTAGGTACTTTAGTTTTTTTTTTTTTTGTTTAAGTTAGGTATAATGAGATCAAGTTCAGAAGCAACTCAAAAATGCCTATTTAAAATATCTCTTCTATATTTGTTTATTTAGCCAGTATAGTAGGATCCTTTCCAGGGTTACAATTAGCCCTGTGTCCTCTACGCAGGGACAGGTGTCTCGGCGCGCGCCACAATAAATAGCTATTTGCCAGAGAGTGCGGCCAGTGTCGCCCGCCGGAAGGTGTTCTCAATTTGTCGCTGAATGAGATTAAGCTTTTCAAAGACAACTGAAAAATATATCTACTCTCTTTAAAATATCTCTTCTATATCTATTGCTTATTTAATTAGGCAGATTTAGACACTATGTTCCTTCCCAATGTTCCAATTAGCCCCGTGTCCCCTACGCAGGGACAGGTGTCTCGGCGCGCGCCACAATAAATAGCTATTTGCCAGAGAGTGCGGCCTGCGTCGGCCGCCGGAAGGTGTTCTCAATTTGTCGCCGAATGAGATTGTCGCCGCTTTCTGTATTAGATAAGTGGCTTTATGTTTCACTTTTCTTGCATATATTTAGCTCTGTTTGGGGCAATTTGAATGAAATTTAGGACGTGTTCCTCTTTGACAACATAGTTCAGATGGTGTGTTCTTACTGAGGTTTTACAATGCTTTGGTTAACCTTGTTTAAAGAAACACTTAAGCACTTGCACATATTTCAGGAATCTGTATAGTGTAGTTATCTAGGCAATGAATTTACTGAGCAATATAGCGTAGGTTTTTTAAATAAGTTTTAGGAGAGTCTGTACTGATGCATTATTATAACATCCTAATTAAATAATTAGACTTAATTCCTACAAATTACATATAATGATAATGTCTTTGATTAAGTAATAAAGGAACTTAAAATGCTAACTTTATAGGGCCCTCAAGATTTGCATTATGATTAGGAAAAATAACACCCAAGTGTGACAATGAACATTTTGACAGAACCAACGTTAATGGGTAATATACTTACATAGTTGTCGCTCTTATGATGTCAGCGAGTAGTACATGGTAACAAATGTCACTAAAAATTCCTGCCTTTTTTACCCGACTGCGCCAGAAGGAGGGTTACGTTTTTAATAAAAATTATTAACTCTCCTTTTGCCTTTTCTAGGAAATAAGGTTTATTAGATCCTATTGTGCGTTTGTTTTGACTCTTAAGTACCGTTGATCGGCCTAGTGGACTAAAAAGTATTCAGTGTTCAGAAATGCCAATGAACTCAAACTGGTTTTTGTGTTTATTTAGTGACCAAAATGCTTTTGACACAACAGTCAACCATCTCACTGTTTCTCCAACCAGTTGTGTGATACCCACAAGTATAATATTATTAAACATGGGCTACAAAGATTTATGGCTGCTATATTTCTTCTGTGTTTTGTGCGTCATTAATATTGTGGATAGTGCAGAAATATTTCAAGATGCAACAGGTATGTAAAATAATTTACATGGTACTTAAGTATTTGAATTTGAAGTCGCGGGAAGAGCCTGGATGCGAGCAGCGCAGGACCGTTCATTGTGGAAAACCTTGGGGGAGGCCTTTGTCCAGCAGTGGACGTCATTTGGAGGCTGAAACGAATACGAATAAGTATTTGAAAGAATATTGCTTGAGAATATGGCTTTCATTGAGGTATTTGTAGCTGTCATAATATTTTAGTTGCGGTGGTCAGTAATTGCTATCTTTTTTGTCCGATCCATACCAAGGACTTTTCCATATAAATTAAATTGCAAAATTAATAATGTACCTACTCTCAGTTTTAAATGAAGAAAACTTTATATTAGAGTCTAGACTATTAAAAAAAGTTGATTAAAAGAGACAATTTTGACTTCAGATTTTACTGGACGTGGACACAGAGACTTCAGAGGAAAACCGTTTAATGAAGACCAACAAATGTATCATGGCAATTCAGGAATGAGAGGTCCGCCTGAACAAAGAGGGAATTCAGGGAAAAAAGGGCCTCCTGACCAAAGAGGTCCACCAGCAAATAGAGGACCCCCAGCGAATAGAGGGCCACCAGGAAATAGAGGACCCACAGCAAATAGAGGGCCCCCTGACCATAATAAACCAGAAACTTATGCTCCGACTAACAGCCAAGAGTACTACCCCAACAATGGAGTTGTAACCAATAGTGTTAACAACCAGTTCCAAGGAGGTCAACCAGTAACTACAGGGAATAATATGCAAAATAATGAAAATGTAGTCAAACCATACAACAACAACAATGTTGGCTATCAAGCGAATAATTGTAATAATAATCACCGCATACCAATCTATGAGTATCAGGGAAGACCAATGTTTCAAGCTGTGCCTGTCACTCCAGAAAGCTAACTAATCTAAATTATTGTTATTTTAGTGTTTAATTTTTCAAGGAAATTCATTGTAGAAATATTTATTTATCTAGTAGTAGGTAGAAAATTACATACTCACAATAAACATTTATTTTATGTTATTTAAATAAAAACAAAAATGCAGTGTGCATTGACGTTCATGTTGTTTATAACTTTACAAGTAATGGTTAATTATGAAAAAAGAAGGTCGCGGGAAGGGCCTGGATGCGGTCAGCGCAGGACCGTTCATTGTGGAAAACCTTAGGGGAGGCCTTTGTCCAGCAGTGGACGTCATTTGGCTGAAACGATAGAGTAACGATGAAAACAGACCCAATTTGATCGCATTTGATTATTTGCAAAACTTATCATAAAACGCAATAACGAAGGTCGACTTTATTTTGTACTATCAAACATAGATATTAAGAACTATGAGTGCTAACGAACTGATACCGGTTTTTAAGTTTTTGTTAGCTTATCTCATCCGTGATCCGAGATAACCAACGAGTTCTCAATCAGTCGTGCAAAGGCCTCTTGAAAACAAAGTCAGTGATTTGTTAAAAATGATTTGAAATGGTTCATAAACAAATATTTCTGTGGACTTTGAGTGTCATCTGTGTTGCCAGTTCACAATGGTCCCAAGGAACCAGAGGTAATATTGAAATCAAGTTTTTTAATAATTCTTTGCTTTTCCTTATTAAAATTACCTATAAGATATACCTACTATAGTTTTTGGTTCAGAATTTTTACGGCCAAATTAATTTGTATATAATTATTTTTGTACAACCTTTTATCACAGGTGAACTTTAACACAACTTTAACAGCAATATTACTTTGCCAAAATTTTTCATATCCTCCTATTATTTGAACATTTTTTCTTCTGTGAAATAAACATTTTGATTTGAATAATTTTCTTTGGATTTGGTATAAAAATATATCGTCCATTTGCGACGACACTGTGATATATCAAAAACAGTAGTTTTACAGAAATCGACTTTTTAACTTTTGAATGACCATAACTCTTAAAAGAAGGTTAGGATTACCTAATTGTGTATGAAACGTTTAAAGATTAACTATTAATGAATTTAAATATTTATAGTAAGACATAACTTTGCGTCTAAATTGATGAAATTAAAGCGATTGAAAAAAAAAGAGACAACTTATCACGTTGTTCTAGTAAAAAATAATATTTTGAAGATGGTAAGTTCAGTTGTCACGTTGAAGATGATGTAAAAAAATATATTTATATAAGTCATTATTTAGATAACACGTTGATCTTGAAAATTTTTATTTTATTTTAATAACATTACAATCAGTAAAAATGAGGTAATTTTTGGAACAGGCGAATATTTCGCTTTGCCATGTTAAATTGCACTTATAAAAATATTATCTAAGTAGACAGACAGTTGTATACATACAATATTTAAGCTCACATTAAGTTTTCTTATTCTAAAAACTAATGCTTATCAAAATAAACGAAAAACTCTCAAAAGTAAAACCTCTTTTACTTTGCTTTTTGTTTTAGAAGAACACTGTGATAAGTATGACGTGCCACATTGTCGAATAAAATAAAAATATTTTAAAAACTTACCTTTGTCATCAATACCGCGGTATCCTCGAGATGTCACGTTTTTCTTAAAAACGAAGAGCACCTCACATCTCAAAGCGCAGGTGGCAACTGAACTGTCACAGTGTCGAAGCCAACTAGATCGCCGAACGAGCCAGCGCTATAACGTAATATTTTGTCTCTTTCTCTCATAGTATTGTTGTTTTTGGAGTAACAAATACCCTGTTTTTGGAGATAAAAGAACGCAAGATCGCGGTTCAGAATTTCGGTAAAACAAAAAATCGTATATGTCGAGATGTCACAGTGTCGTCGCAAATGGGCGATATGATAAGAGACAGATAATGAATTCCTTCACAAATAATAATATGAAAGACAATGTAATAACGAAAAATTTGTTTTTACTTTCAGAAAACTGGGGATCTCCGCCAAACAGGAACCCCCCTCCATATGGAGGTCCTGCAGATTACTGGGGACAGTCCTCAAACAGAGGACCACCACCAGGCCGAGGACCTCCACCGGATAGAGGACCCCCACCAGATCGAGGTCCTCCACCAGATCGAGGACCCCCACCGGATCGAGGACCCCCACCAGATCGAGGACCTCCACCATATGACTGGGGGCCACCATCAAATGGATATCCTCCACCGCCTCCACCTAATAGTAAACCACCATCATCATATGGACGACCTCCACCGTACGGAGGATATCAGCCATATGGAGGGCCTCCACCAGATAGAAGGCCTCCTCCATATGATAGGCCTCCACCACACGGAGAGCCTCCACCACACGGAGGGCCTCCACCACACGGAGGGCCTCCACCACACGGAGGGCCTCCACCACACGGAGGGCCTCCACGTGAATCATCAAACAGAGATCCGCCAGATTTTAGAAAAACTCCATCATATTACGACTTATCTAGGAACAATGATTACACCAAATTGCCAAGGACCAATAATGCAGAATCTGGAAGACCATCATACTATGATGAACTAGGTGAACATAAAAGGCCACCAAGACAAAGAGGACCACAAGACTACGGCTCTCCACCTAATGAACCGCCTCCAGATAATTGGCGATCTCCACCGAATGAAAGACCACCGCCTGATAGGGGACCACCGACTGATAGAGGACCACCGCCTGATAGAGGACCACCACCTAATAGAGGACCACCGCCTGATAGAGGACCACCACCGGACAGGGGACCACCACCGAATAGAGGTCCACCACCTAACAGAGGACCACCACCTAACAGAGGGCCACCGCCTGATAGAGGGCCACCATCTGACGGAGGGCCACCAAATAATAGAGGACCGCCACCAAATCAAGAACCACCACAATACGGAGGTACCTCAGAAAACTGGGATCGTCAACCAAATAGAGGATCTCAAAACGGAAATTCTTTACCGCCACCAAACACAGAGTTATCAACAGACAAAGCGCGCCCGGCACAAAGCGAATCTTCTTCAGATTCCGAATCCATATTATTCCGAAACTTGGAAGATTTCTCTAGTGATAATGGCCCCACTGAAGTCATAAAGACGGGTATAGGTATTGCGAAAGAAGTAGGTGAAAACATTTCTAAAACCGAACGTTTAATTAAGAGTGAAACCGCAGAAAGTGATGAAGATAAAAATAATAGTAATAAATCCAGTACAAGTGGAATATATCAATACATGGGATTGCCAATATTTCAGGCCTTGCCTGTGACTCCAGCAGTCTAATAAGAATTTAAGATTTATAGGTTTAAATACAAAACAATTATAGATAAGGTGAAACATAGCTTGTAATACTCATAAAGATACATGTTATTTCTTACTCTTAATTTAAATATTAAGTAAAAGATAGATGGAATTCCTTTAATAATAATCCTGTCGATAGCATGTTCAAAATAATAAACCATAGCATAATTATAATCTACTGAGCCTGAACCTCTAAGCAGTAATGTAAATTTTTATCTTTAATCTTTATGAAATTATAAAGGGAAATTACCTAATAATTTATTGTTTTATTTAATACCCATTTATGTTGTTATTTCACAATTAAATGATATAATTACATAAAAATTGTTTTGTATATTATCATTATTAATAATAATTAAGTAAAATTCTCAATTTACAAGTGATTTATTAAATGATTTCTTACAAGATGTGTATACGACTTTTAAATTGGTTTTAGTCAAAATGTAGGCATACATCTCCCATCAGAGGTGCGTTGGTACCCAGCTAGACAACCTCCACTGAAGTTTTCCTTTCCATCTTTGTCGGTGCCGTTACTACTCTTAGTGGTAGTAGCCAGCGGTTCTTCTGTTGGAAACACCATCCTACTTACAGTCGACTCTGAAGAAGTACTAACTGTCTTGCCTTCAGTTGTTGTCGTTGGTTTCAAACTTGTAGTTTCAACTGTGTGTTTTTCTTTTTCCTTTTCAGCACTCGTTTCTTCTTCAAACGTAATTTTTCCTGCATCATCGTTTTTTTTGTGGTGTAAACGATTCCTTAATGGCTGAAATAAGTTATGAACATCTTCCTTCACCTTTTCAGCAGTATTGTGTACCTTTTCAAATATATTATTTACGATTTTTCCATCAGCTGTGTTGTATTCACTTATTAAAAATACACATAGTAAAACTACTGGGACGAGCTTCATTTTAAAATCTGATAGCTGTTTCACTTTATGTATATCTTTCTCCAAACTGAATATGCGACTGTATAATCTTGAAATATTGAGCAAACTGATAGCTTCTACCCTTTTGAACTTTGATGATAGCGCGTTAGTGGAATCATCACTCTTTACTAGATAAGGGGCCTTTTAATATTTTTTACTGCTATTGCTCAAGACGATTATTTTTAATATCGTGTATTTCCTTAACTATTTTGTATACCGACACTCGACACCATCTGAAAATAAAAAATAATACAATTAGTTATGGATTCGCAATAACGATGATAACAATCATGATCTGAAACTTAACAAAATGTGGTGACATAACAAATAATACTTAAATGCCTACTTTATCAATGATTGTAGGTGTCTGCTCTAATACCCACATAATATCACATACATTGACTTGGAAACTATACCAGATTAGAATCTGCAACCACATTTAGTAAGTATTTTTCAGTGTGATTAAGGGATTTGCCACACCGGATACGTTCTGCGGTCTGCGGTCAGGTCAAAGTTAACGCAATCCGCATCATGTATGAACAAAATTTTCAATCTCTATACCTTTTGTATTGATAGGATCTGACAGTGCAGCCACGACCTAAGAACGCATCCAGTGTGACAAATGCTTAATTTTGTTAGGGCGTCCATTAGATGTAACATAACATCGCGATTTTAAATTATTAGTCGCTATCTATAGTCTACAATCTATCCGTCTGTTTCAAAAAGTTTTTAGATGGTGAGTGTCCAACATTATGAAGGATTCGTGACGCATATTAAAATTAAAATGATGTAATGTTCATTACATATTCATTGAGTAGTAAAAAGAGGCTTCGTGAAACCGCAATGCCCGCAGTTATTAAAAGTTTTTGTTACATCTAAGATGCTGCAACTTTTTACCTTCTAATGGGCTATCTACAAAAAGTGTTTAGTAGGTAGGTACTTCATTTGTTTTATTCATACATATTATTATATTTTATTATTTTATTCTCGAATCATCAGAAACAAAATCAAGTAGACGAACAATTACCTTAGACGTACCTATACAATTTTTTATTCTATTTCGAAGGTGAAAATTTTAGGAAATAATACCCATGTTTGGAGGCAAAGGAGATTGCTTCGAAGAAAATTTGAAGAAAAAGAAATAAATATTATTAGCAATAAGCCTACATAATATTCATTTATCATAAATATTAGTAATTAACACAGCACAGGTAATACTACAACTTCTTTAAAATATGTGGCTGATCTAATTGCATTATTTATTTGCTGAGACCAAAAAATAGTAACTTAAAAAATATACTTGCTTAAAATGTTTACCCTACTATTGGCAACATTTTCTTAGCTCATGCTCTGTATTAATATGGCAATGGTTTTAACCATTGTACATTGTACTTATTACTTTTACAGTCTATTCGGGTTGAAAAGATCGTATCGTGAGAAGGAAGATAGAATCGGTCTATAAATTAATGTATTAAAACCGCATTTAATTATATTATGCTGGAGAGCTAACGAACTCATACCGGTTGTGGGTATTTTTTTGCCTGCTTGAATATTATTGGAGTTAATCAAATACTTTGGAATCAGTTGTGTGAAGGCCACTAGTAAACATAGTTGATGTTTGTTAAAATGGCATATAAACATAAAGGAATCCTTCATCTTTTTTTGTGGACTTTAAGTGTTTGTGTTACCAGTTCGCAAGCATATAAAGGAATCAGAGGTAATTTTTAATTGTCTTTGTATTAGTTAGTATCAAAATATAAAATTGAGTTGATACGCACACTAATTTTGTTATTTCAAACGAAGAACGTCCACTGCTGGACAAAGATCTAATTTTGTCATACTTTTAATAAGAAGTCACAATACTAATTTGTTTGAGTTTATAATGGAAACATCTAGTGCTGCTTATTGACAAGATATCTTATTAAAAAGCCTCGACCTCGACTCATCATTGAACTGTCAAATCTTATTTTTAATAAAGAATATTATTACTGCAAAATGTATTTTTAACAATAATTAATGTAACTTTATGTATTGCCTATAGAGTGTCCCATTAAGTGACTGTTATTGTAATTGACAAAATAGCTGGTTTTTTTTTCATAAAACAATCTGCTGTATGAACTGTCCAAAATGGACAAAAAAATTTAATTTATAATTTGGATTTTCACAAAAAATACTTGCCTTTATTTTCAGTGCAACGGCAAGCTCAGTATTCTCATTATACGAGTAATAGAGGGTATCAAACATACGATGAAGATACGGAACAGTATCGTGGTGCAAGACCAGGGGCACAATCATATTATTATGATGACACAAATGCACAATCAAGAGTACCAAGAAATAGAGAACCACCGGACTACCAAAGATCTCCTCAAAACTTGGACAATCAGCCATATAAAGATGCTTCATCGTATTATACTAATCCTTCAGAAAACTGGAGACCTCCATCAAATGAAGGCTATCCACCTCCACCACCACCAGATGGAAGACCACCACCATATGGGCATCCTCCTCCACCACCACCAGACAGAAGATCTTCATCATACGGTCATCCTCCTCCACCACCACTAGACGGAAGACCTCCTCCATACGGTCATCCTCCTCCACCACCACTAGACGGAAGACCTCCTCCATACGGTCATCCTCCTCCACCACCTCCAGATGGGAGACCTCCTTCATACGGGCATCCTCCTCCTCCTCCACCACCACCAGATGGAAGATCTTCATCATACGGTCATCCTCCTCCACCACCACCAGACGGAAGACCTCCTCCATATGGAGATCCTCCTCCGCCATCACCAGACGGAAGACCTCCTCCATACGGTCATCCTCCTCCACCACCTCCAGATGGGAGACCTCCTTCATACGGGCATCCTCCTCCTCCTCCACCACCACCAGATGGAACACCAGACGGAAGACCTCCTCCATATGGACATCCTCCTCCACCACCACCAGATGGAGGACCTCCTCCATACGGACATCCTCCTCCGCCACCACCAGACGGAAGACCTCCACCATATGGCCATCCTCCTCCACCACCACCAGACAGAAGACCTCCTCCATATGGACATCCTCCTCCACCACCACCAGACGGAAGACCTCCTCCATATGGACATCCTCCTCCGCCACCACCTGATAGTAGACCTTCACCATATGGCTATCCTCCTCCACCACCACCACCAGATGAAAGATCTCCACAATATGGACATCCTCCGCCACCACCACTGGATGGAAGACCTCCACTATATGGACATCCTCCGCCACCACCACCAGATGGAAGACCTCCACCATATGGACATCCTCCGCCACCACCACCGGATGGAAGACCTCCACCATATGGACATCCTCCTCCACCACCACCAGATGGAAGATCTTCATCATACGGTCATCCTCCTCCACCACCACTAGACGGAAGACCTCCTCCATACGGTCATCCTCCTCCACCACCTCCAGATGGGAGACCTCCTTCATACGGGCATCCTCCTCCTCCTCCACCACCACCAGATGGAAGATCTTCATCATACGGTCATCCTCCTCCACCACCACCAGACGGAAGACCTCCTCCATATGGAGATCCTCCTCCGCCATNCATCATACGGTCATCCTCCTCCACCACCACTAGACGGAAGACCTCCTCCATACGGTCATCCTCCTCCACCACCACTAGACGGAAGACCTCCTCCATACGGTCATCCTCCTCCACCACCTCCAGATGGGAGACCTCCTCCATACGGGCATCCTCCTCCGCCACCACCAGACGGGAGGCCTCCACCATATGGCCATCCTCCTCCACCACCACCAGACAGAAGACCTCCTCCATATGGACATCCTCCTCCACCACCACCAGACGGAAGACCTCCTCCATATGGACATCCTCCTCCGCCACCACCTGATAGTAGACCTTCACCATATGGCTATCCTCCTCCACCACCACCACCAGATGAAAGATCTCCACAATATGGACATCCTCCTCCGCCGCCACCAGATGGGAGACCTCCACCATATGGGCATCCTCCACCACCACCAGATGGAAGACCACCACCATACGGGCATCCTCCTCCACCACCCTCACCGGATGGAAGAGCTCCACCGTATGGCCATCCTCATCCACCGCCACCAGATGGAAGACCTCCACCATATGGTCATCCTCCTCCGCCAACACCAAATGGAAGACCTCCACCGTATGGGCATCCTCCCCCTCCACCACAGCAAGATGGGAGGCCTCCACCATATGGGTATCCCCCTCCACCTCCACCAAATGGAGCACCTCCACCTTACGGAGTATCAAATGAGTCTAAACAATATGAACCTCCACCATATAGTGATCCAACTCAATCAAATGAAAAATCCGTAGAATTGAGAAAACCGCCATCGTTTCAGGATTTATCAAATTTGAATGAGTCCATTAGACCACCAAGACAAAGAGAAGGATCTTCACAATATAAAGAGTCCCTAGGTAAGTCTGGACCTCCAACAAAAGGAGGTAGTCCACCAGAAGACCCAGACTCGGAATCTATCTTATTCCGCAACTTAGAAGATTTCTCTGATAACAAAAGCCCCACTGGAATTATAACGAAAGGCATAGAAGTTGCGAAAAGAATAAGCGAAAATTCTCCAAAAAGCGAACGATTAATCATGAGCCAAGATTATCAAAACATGGAACAACCAACTCAAACGTATGAAAACGAAGAAAATTATGAAAATGCCGATCAAAATAATCATCGTATAATTGGAATATATCACTATTACGGCATGCCATTATTTCAGGCGCGTCCTGTTACTCCAGAAATTTAATAGTACATGCTTTAGATAGTTTGAAGGTTTTGCTAATTACTTAATTTAAATAGTCATAAAAAGAGATAGTTAAAACTTATTTCGTTGTTTTTACTTCCGTTAATAAGTAGGCACACTATCACCTTACAAAGTATTCGTGAATATCTTCAAGTAGAACCAAAATAAACTTATTAGGAGTAAATAAATATAATTGGATTTAATAACACTGCGCCATCTGCTTAAGAATAATAAACTTAGAAAAGCTTTTTATATGGGTACATTGTTAGACAACGGTAATAGAGATTAGTGTAATACTCCTAGAGTGAAAATATAAGAGTCCTTCATATGCGTGTATAAATTCGCAAGTAAGTAATCTATTGGTTATTTTTATATTTACTATCGTGACGTCGTTTCCATACTATGTAGCTGGATAAATATAAATGGATTTCGTCATCTACTCAACTCTACCGTTTATGTATGACTGTAGTGTAGGTATGTACTACGACTGTAGTTAAGTGAGAAAGATTTTGAATGAATGAAAATGATACAATAACTCAACATTTCATTTGATACTCAATTTGAGAACCTTGACATTTAACTGTAGTTGTCTGCGTGACTTTATCCTACTTCCTACTAATATTATAAATGCGAAAGTTTGTATGGATGTTTGGATGTCAAAATGTTTGTTACTTTACAGTATTATTGTTTATAACCCAGAATAACATACAGGCTATAATTTATGACGATCTGTGACAAACTAAATTTCACGCGGGTAAAGCCGCGGGCAAAACCTAAGTAGTTTGTAATAAAAACTTAACGACTTTCGTAAACAAATAATTAAAGTCACTGTTTCTATTTCTACAAACTAAGGGTGAGTTGCACCACCTAACTTTGGCCGTAACTTTGACGATAACCGGTGTATTTTGTAAAGAGTTTGACAGATTTTTACAGAAAGTAAGATGGTGCAACCCAGCCTAAATTACATAACGTTTAGTGCAAAACACTGAAAATATTTAGACTTTAATAAGGTATTCATAGATCACCGTTTTTTGATCAGTTTTCAGTCAAGTTAGTCGCAAGATATACAAAGGCTAAGACTATTGTTACAAAATAAATTCCTCAATGATACTGGAAGAGCAAGAAGTGTGATTGTATTTTACTAATAATGGTATCAGGAGAGAACACATAATTAACCAATTTTACTTGTTTTTATGTAATGTTAATACAGTAGTTAAAATAAAATGATGGTAATTCAAAAGTTTACCTTAAAATCTAATTCGGCAGTACCCTGCCCTATCTCGTCTTTGCCCAAGAGGGCAGTCAAGATCTGGCACTTTTATTACTTGACCCGTTTGTGTTTGTTCCTCGGGTTTTTCCGTTGTTGTTGCTAAACGGAGTTTATCACGAAAATTGAATATCGCCATTTCGCCTGTCACAAGCGAACACCCACATAACATTAAAACTGTTACAAAAATCACAAATTTCGCGTCCATTTTAGCGAAATACACAGAGCGGACTACGCCGTGGCTAGAGTAAATTAATACGTTTATGATGGCACTTCTATTGCCATACTTGTCTGCATGTACCGGTTATGTCCATTTCTGTTCTATTCTTCTTACACAATTCTTCGTTTTCCAAATTCAGTGGCACAATAATCATCGTCTTTTGCGTGGTGATGCCAATTCCTGAGCTATTGGACGTAGTTGGCGTACTTTTCGTGGTGGTTGATAACGAGTAGATAAAGTCGTCGACTGGATTGCTAAATATATCGAAGGTGGATCGGTCACCAAATGGCGCAGAATTCGCGTAAACCAACAAATAACTCACAATACTCAGCACGACTATTCGTACCGACAGATGCGTCATTTTCCGAGCAGTGCCACTTAAAGATACCATTATTTAGTTAGCTTATCGTTAAATTAATAACATCCAATAGGAAGACAGTTTCAACTCCGTTATCAGTAACTAAAGGGTCGAAGCACAAAACAGAGTAATTAATATTTATTTATATTTCAAATAAATATGTATACATAAAGAATTTTATTTATACATCTAAATAACTGCTCCAAAGGGATAAATTGTACTATCTTATCAGTTTAGTTTTAAGAAATATTAAGTCAAAGTAAACCCTAAAATGGACAATAAGTAGGTATGCTCTTTGTTATTTTAATTGTTTTATTGTAAAAAACAATAAATTTGGATTGGAAATGTCATTAACATACACCTAGGTAACCTTTATTAATTACGCTAAAATGTAAACAGACTATATACAGTACCTACTAGTTTTTTTCTAAACAGTCAAATGACTAGTATTTGTTTTATAAGATTTTTTATTCATAATTAAGCATGATTACTCACCCTCTGTAGTTCTTCATTTAGCTTCTTTTTGTCACAATCCGGGTGCATGCCGCAGTACAAATTCAGCCATAATACCATGTACTTCATTTCATCTAGGCGCTGGATCAAATTATACGGACCAATGTCAATAGGTTTTGGTTTAGCCTTTATCATAAAGTTTTCATTATTATTTTCAGCTTCATCTATATCACTTGGTGACGATACTTTGTACACATAATCATTAGATATTTCATTAATTTCACTCTTATCAAAATAACGAATAGCTGGCTTCAATAGTAAACTGTTTAAATGTTTGGTTGGGCCAAACTCACTGACGTCATCTTCGTTTTTGCTTGTCAATCCCAAAATTTCGCGACATATAATTAAAAGGACAATGGTAGTCTTCAACATAGTTTCAAATAGAAAAGCCGCACTCAACTGTGGTTCGTAGAATAACGCCGAGCGATGCGGCAGTCAACATAAATGCTGTTCATCAAATTGACAATTGCTGAACTTATTGTATCAATTGACTTCTATTACCATCGTTAGACTCGTTAAAATAGATCTACCTACTGTGATAGTTACATACAATAGATATATCTGAAGATGCTACTCACTTCGTAAGATGTTGTGCCAACTCAAATATTGACTATGTGGTATTTAAATATCATTTGAATTGTTTGTCAGTTAATAACAATCTCTTAATTACTGATTTATCAAATGAGATTTGTTGCAGCGAGCGAGTAGGTAAGTGTAGAGCTAGTTAAATTTTAAGTTAGTAGAAAAACATTTCCGTTGTTATTAAATGATAAAGGGCCCTTGAAGTTCATCGTTGTGAATTTCTCGTTAGTTGGCTTCGCAATACAACGACGCTTCAGTGATTTCATTCAGTTAGGAAAGGATACCTAATTTTAGTAAAATAACTTGCTGATTGAACCAAAAATTATACCTTACTTGGTTTACTCAAATTATTTGAAATAAGTACATTGATAGAAAAATAATATTTTCATTAGCCTCAAATAAAAAAATCAATTTCAGTGCAAAATGTAGCTTTAGGTTTAATGTTTGTAATATACAGTTTAGTTATAACGTTTTTCCAATTCAGATTAATTTGGTTTAAAATGGTCTTTAGAAAGATTTTATTTATTCGTGTTCCTAGGAAATTGCTGAGTTGAAACTGTTCTGTGTATACTCTACTTGTAGTTTAAAAATTTAATCTTTTACCATCGGCTTTGTGTATAATGACACAAAGAACCCTCTACATGATGACGGACCTAACAAAAGATAGGTAATGTAGGTAATGTTGATGTACCTACCAACGTTGAATTGTTGACATAAGCCGTGTTAATTAAAATATGGTTCTGGCTGAGGTATTTTAATCAAAATACCTGGCTGGACACTGCTGCGGACATTTTTCGTGTGCGAAACACTGGGATCAAAGAGACCGTCCGCGTCCATCGAAACGACAGCTCTGTGGCACACTGAGGCTGGATTGTACCTACCATCTCACTTTAACAATAACCTGCGTTTTTTGTGTGGAGTTTGACAGATTTTTGACAGATGTTAAAGTCAAAGTAAGATGGTGCTACTCAGCCTGAGTGTATCTTTCTATCTATGTAGTGCATATGGTGTAACTAAATATTTCACGTGAACTTAAAAAATATATGACTTGATTGTATACAGATCACAATATTTTTTGAGCAACGGTAAGTATTATACAGATTACAGTTGAGCTAGAATGGTAGGTACCCAAACAATATTAAAATTTTTACATCATCACTACTATCGACCTACGTTTTTCTAATAAGTACTTTGGTAACTTAAAATCTTGGGCAATGGTTTCGATGAAATATTATATCTCCTAACAAAATAATGTTTAATGCATACCTATACATGTTGACATGTAGAAATGATAAACCATGGCATATAAGAAAAAATATTATTAACAAATATACATTCAACTTACAAATAATGAAAACAAAATTTAATAATGAAGCAGTTTACAAAAAATATCTACCTACTGGCATATTAAACCTTTCTTTAAGAATTTGTGAATAACAGATTAATAAACAGTACGAGTAACAGAGTAATTTTTTTTCACTTCTATCACTTCTAAAGTTCTTTGCAACTTTAATATTCATATCACTAATTGCATCGTCTGCCGTGTCGAGACTTCTTGTACTGAAATACAAATTGAAATTAATGAGTTTATTGTTGTAATCACAAAGTAAATACTGACATAAAATAATGAAATAAAAAAATACTATCCGTTCGCTTTAAGTTTGCCGCTGGCGTTATGACGTCACTCGAAGGGAAACGTCTATAACTTTAATAATATCAAACTATATTCAAAATATTTTTTATTTATTAATATTGATAAAAATTGTGTATTTGCGTAAAAATATAAGACACATTAATTGCGTTTAATCACTAACTAATTGAGTTTAATCGCGGTTGGGGTAGGGGACGCGTATTCCACGGATCGGCAAACTTAGCGCGAACGGGTAGTAGGTATCTTTTTCGTATCAGACTCTTAAAAATATTCAATTTATAGTGAACCTCAATTATTTTTATTAGAAATTATTAAATAAATTAATTTATTTTCTTCATTTCAGTTGAAGAGTTTCAATTTGATCCTTAGGGTTTTCAACTACTTCTGATAAATTATTCGTTTTTGTATTAGCTTTAGTAGTAATGTTCACAGTTGGAGGTGTTGTGGATTTTACAATATTAATAAATATATTCACAAGCGAATTGACTTTTTTTACAGTACGTACGCCGCAATCGTTTTCTTCAGACGACGAAGATGATGAAGACGATGATGATGATGAAGAGGAGGACGAATCATTGCTCTTTCCCTGAAAAACAATAATAATTACGATTACTTATAAAAATAAGATAAAAAACTACACTGTGACTGACTTTGTCATATCCATGATTTTTCTATTACAGGGATTTGGGCAATCCTGGAACAATTCTAAGAGAACTTTGAAATTCGAATTGGAATTCACTGTCTGCTGCTGTATTTCCCGAAGACCCGGCCTTTTCAAGGCGAGAGTGAATAGGCACTTACAGGGCAGATATGTACTAGCCTAGACTGCATCCCACTTAACATCAAGTGCGATTGTATTCAAATAACTGCCTTGTTATGAATAAAAAAAAACTGAGAGTTTAAAGTGGGGACTAATTTCAAGTAATAAACGTTTGTTTGAATAAATTATCACTCTTACATAAGTACTTTATTATTATGTGGAACGTCACTGTATAGAAAATCAGTATTTTGGCTATATGTAAATAGGTATAATGTTGAAAATATCGTGGGGTGGCAAAGTTAAGGGAACAGTTCCATCATTATTGCTCATTAGGCCCGCAATCGAGGCTCGCTCCACGGAGCTTGGCTTCGAATGAGATGGAGTGCTCCGCGTTCAACATGCTATATTATGGCATTGCGAATTCTTTTTGAGGATTTTAACCATAGCTTAATGGTTACTTAATTTGATACGGTTAGTAAGGATCGGAATACCGATAAACTTATTAGTTAAAAAAATAGTGTATGAGATTTAAATGTGTATTTTTAATGAGGACTTCGCTGTCTGCTACGGTCTTTCCCGAACACTAAATCTGGGCGTTTTCAAGGCGAGAGTGAATATGCACTTACAGGGCAAAATGTACCATCCTACTAGACTGCACTCAGGTGCGATTGCGGTCCAATACTTATTTGCCTTGTTATGCACAAAAAAATACTTTTATTATTTACAAACAACCGTTTGTAGTTCGTTTACGGATCTCCTCATTTCTGATTCGATCTCGCAAAGAAACACCAAGCATAGCCCTCTCCATAGCACGCTGTGAAACTTTGAGCCTCTGTATAAGGCCTATAGTGAGAGGCCACGTTTCCGAGGCCGCAGGCCGCTACCAATCGATCAACGTGGAAAGCATTAGGGGAGGCCTATGTTCAGCGGTGGACGTCCAATGGCTGAAATTATGATGATGATGATGATGAACCGTTTGTATTCAGGAGAATGAATTATTTCCTTTTATACTTACTTAAAGAATTCGTTTTCTATCAATTTTATAATAATTTTGTGTGCATAGTAAGTACCTATATGAATACTTACGTGACCACATCTGCCACAATCATCTTCCTCTGACGATGACGAAGACGAAGATGATGATGAGGATGACGATGAATTACACTGAAAGTAGTAAATACTCGTATTAGTTTTACATTTTTAGTACAAATAAATTGATGTTTTTTTTTTCACAATCCATATTTTTATAGAAATACCTAAAATTACTTAAACAATCTGTAAAACTGTTATAAAAATGAATATTTTTTTTAAATGTACAATATAATTAATTTCACAAAATTATACACACCTCATCGCTGCTAATATTGTTGCAGCAACTGGATTTCCTGAAAAATATTTTTTATATATTTTAAAGGTCAATAAAATCAATTACCCGACATATTATGTAATACACAATTTAATGTGCCCTACATTAGAAAGTATAACTCTGGAATAAGATGGAGTATCTTGTACTTAAAATAGCACATCGTGTAAGTTTACTAGAATATAATAGGTAACGGAGTAGGTATCTTATTATCATAATAATTATACTAAATAATTCAGGATAAAATATTTGAAGGAACAAAAACTTATATTCCCACTTTTTGCGCGGACTGTTTGCAGTTTTCTTACGAAGCTTAACAAGACTAATGGATCTTACCTTGGCGAGCAAGGTCCAGCGCAAGCCATCGCTATCAACACCGTGGCGAACAGCAAAATGGTAAACTTATTCATCGTTGTCCTTTTCTGTTACCTTAACTTTTACTGCTGGAAAGAAAAAATAGGTTAAAAATTAAATATAAGTACCTACGTTAGCACTTTTTGCAGTTTTGGCCTATTGATTGAAATGTTTGGTTTCGAGACTAATGCCCGTTTTCACCATCAACCCCTAATTTATTAAGTGACCTCTATGAAAAGTAAATTCCTGTTATGTGTTACCATAGGAGTACTTAAAAATTAGGGATTGATGGTAATAAGTATTTGTTTTTTAAGGTTAACTAGTTAATATAAGAATAACTTTAAAAAAAGTAATGCAATAACCAACTACGAGTATTTTTTTAATGATGACACAAAATGTAAGCACTGCTTATTTTATACTTTTACGAGTATATCTTTTTATTAGACTAGTTGTGCCCGCGACTTTGTACGCGTGAAAATAGTTTGAATAATATTTCCCGTTTTTGCAACATTTTCTTTACTGCTCCACTCTTATTGGCTGTAAGGTGATGTAATACAATAGCGGACCAGTAGTTCCTGAGATTAGCGCGTTCAACCAAACAAACAAACAAACTCTTCATTAAAATTAGTGTAGATAAAAATATAAAGTAGATGGACTTTTTATTGCTGTCACTTAACTTTTATTTTCCTTTTTTAAAACTTTTACTTACATATTTGATTGGACATTGGGACTAATTAAGTACATGAGTACTAGTAAACTTTACCTATAATCTTGTTTGCGCAATATTTGAGTCCGGTTGCATAGGTCAAGGTCGTCGCTTTATATCTCTTTAAGTTTGATAAAAAACAAGACGTAAATGAGTTAAAATGCATTTTTAAATCAATCTTTTTTTACACTAATTTTTGTACATACATGCACTCAAAATATTTAAATGAAAATAATTTGTGTTTAAATAATGATATAAAAAATATCGTATGTGTCACGGTTGGTGTACGTACTTATTCTAGTCTCGTCAAAGGCTAAAAATGTGACAATGAAATTAATGCCCGTTTTCACCATCAATCCCTTATTTTTAACTGACCCCTATGGTATTTTTAAGAGGCATTTTATTTTCATAGGGGTCACTTAATAATTAGGGATAGATGGTGGAAACGGGCATTACAAGTCATTATACCAAATTCTAATACCTATATTAAAATGTACACTGTAATCTGGTTAAATAACTCACTGTTTCCATAGTGCTAGAGTCACCTACAGTGATCATATTCTTGGTTTTTAGACTTATGGACTTTTTGTGGACTTGTTTATTGTTAATGCCTGTATACCGAGAAATACCGAGAAATAAAAATATAAAAATTTAAAACACTTCAAAAATCCGGAATTTTGCAGTGATATTCATATTAGTCTAATTTTAAATTAAATTTTAATCATACTTGAAAGTTTATACAAGTATTTATGTTGGAATTCAACATCCAGTTTTGGATAAATGGTTATAATAAGAAAACTCGTAGTTTAAGTAAACTTAAATAATGCTAATAGAATCTACTATCTAACCAAAGTTATTTAATTTCAGAGTTATGCCTCTTTATTAAAAAATAAGTACAATATACGCACCGCACCGAATTATCTTGTATTTTGCAATTAAAAAAATATCACTTGTAGCGATCGAACTCGGTCAATTATTTGTACAGACTGAACATAAACTGGGCGCCCGAAGATAACATAATTAGATTAATTTACTTAACTTTTGCGACTTGCCCTACGATCAAGGTTGTTTTCTCGAGAATTCGTCAATAAATCCTAGATTTGACTTACTTGATGTACCTACCTTATCTAACTGGTGCATCCTCTTATATTTATTTAGTACATGTAATAATAGATCTAATTTGCTATTAGATAATAAATATATCTTTGTGCCCATTAAGTTACATATTGTGTTTCGTTCGTTCGTTTCAGGCAAATGACGTCTACTGCTGGACAAAGGCCTCCCCCAAGGATTTCCATACCGGGCGGTTCTGCGCTGCCCGCATCCAGTTTCTTCCCGCGACCTTCACCAGATCGTCGGTCCACCTAATGGGAGGCATTATTGTGTTTACTTCCTCTCAATTCTAAGATACATGAAGATGGGTGTGACTATGTATAATATTTATGTATTTAAAAAAAAAGTATATAAGTAGTATATCCGTTAAGCTAGCACCCATAACACAAGCATTAAGTTGCTTACTTTGGGGCTAGCTGGCGCTGTGTGAAATTGTCCAAAGATTTATACATCTAATACTTCACTGGGTTGAGAAAATGTGATCACTAGTCTTCATTAACAAGTACTACCTATTTTATAAGAAGTAGTAGATTACTGACTGCTAAATGCTAATAAGCAGTTAGAGCTAATAATGGCTAGCTCTTAATCCGTGTCTCAGTTTATATTGTCTGTCCACAACTAACACAATAATACAGATATTTCTTAACCATGAGTAGTATTGTGAAACGTCAAATGGCCCCAATACTTGATAGACAACTAACGGCCGTATTCACAAACATTACTATGAGGTCTCACAGTGCGCGTAGACGCACAGAGTGACACACGAACCAATCAAAGAGCTCTACAACAACAACGCTGTGCGTTCAATTTGCTTCTTCACTTAAGCAGACATCGTTTGTGAATATGAGCGTAGGTAATATTTTTTTAGTTATGCCCACCCTTTCTGTGAAGTGCGGATGATACTCGCACAAGCAATTCACTCTGCTTTATCTGGATTATTCGATAGACGCCGTCAGCGAGAAAACAAGCTTCTTACACAAATAGAAGGGATTTTAATATCCTTAAGTAGTGATGATACTGGCCTTCTGCCCCGTATAAAAGACTTGCAAAGTAATCCACAGAAGGCGCCCAGATATCTTCAGCAAATCTGCTTGAGTCATCGCATCCTTTTTAAATAAATAGGGTCCGAAAAGAGATCGTTTATTTTTTCAAAATACGATTCGTGAGAAATTCTGATAGTAGCACGATAAGGTATCCCTTTTTTTCAACAGAAAGGTGTTTTATTTTTCCTTTAAGGGCAGAAAAAAATCATCAAAAGCGATTTTTCTAATGTTGTTTTTTTACGATTTTAATACGATAAGATAAGGTGACTAAAGAGAGTTTTTCTATGTAAGTTAAAAAGATCTTTAAGGCGCCAAACTTTGTCTTATTGAATTTACCTTCAATGAATGGTGGGTGGGTACTGCTTGAGTTAAATTACGAACCGGTTTAAAACTTCCCGATGAAGTGGAGTTCGAAAATGGCATTATAAATTCAGCAGTTTACAATCACAGCGCTACTTGGCGACGGCAAAAAAACCTCCGCGGAAAACTCGTTCTAACTTTTCCTATTTTTCTGCGTTAATTTCACCTGAACCCATTACACTTTGCAACAATTCTTACTGGGAACGTTTCTATTAGGGTGTTCAAATTGCATTTTAGATGTTATGCTGTTACTTCAGAAGAATATCTTCTGTCTTTTACTCAGTTCACTCGCTTTTGATAGGATGAACGTTGGAAGTGTTATGATGTATTTTTGTATGAAATGAAGGACAGGTTGGTTTTGTAATTTAGGTGAAATTTAATAAAGCTGGTATGTCCTGCACTGCAAAAGAGATGCCTTTTCTCATTTAATAGCTTAAGGGAAAGGCCTACTTTATGTTTTTATAGTATTTTTTAATGTAATATTTAAAAAAAAACGTGCAATAAAATGATACGTTTTGATGCCATCTTTAATTTTTCCGGTTCTGCTTAGAATGTGATAATTTTCAGAGCTTATTGAACTTTTGTTTCCAAATAACAATACAATCACCATTCCAAATTTAGGATAACAAAGAATACCAACGAAGGCTCGTGAAGTGCGAGTGGTAACCAAGTTGAGCAATGAAACGTTAAGGATGAATAAGTTAATTGGGCCCCAGCGTATCGGCGGCCCTCCTGCGGCACAGAGGAATGCATTTAAATTGGATTTTAAGAGTAGAAATCATCGGGCGCTCTCCTCTCAGCCTTGTTAGAGCCAATCTCGAAGTTTACGTAAACGAATAAACCTTCCCCGAACCGAATTTATCGGTATCAATTCAAACTATACATCAGGTTGCGATCCGAACTGAATTTCAGCCTGTTATAAATTTGAGACTGAATTAAAAGTTGCCAAAACTACTTAAATTGAGTTAGGAAACTGTATTTGACTATGCAGGAAAACATGAATAATCTATCTAGAAATACCTGGGATTTGAGGGCCCTGGCTTGGTGGTCTGACAACGGCCTCTGGTGTGATGATTCGCATACCGGTCTACATCGCGAGCTGCGGTTGCAGACTCGAACCTCACCAGGAATGGCTTCATAAATGATCATACCAAAGTCATGAACATTGATTGAGTCAATAACAAACTAATCTTGTTGTCACTGGCAAGCTCTACTTAACTTTAAGAGTAAAAAGTAAAAGTTGGAATATACATATTTCATTACTACTTTAAAGCTGAGTTGCACCGCCTTATTTTGACCGTAACACATTAACCGGTGCTTTTTGTACGGAGTTTGACAGATTTTTGACGTTTGTCAAAGTAATAGATGGTGCAACTCAGCCTAAGACATAATCGTCGACCTATCAGAAAAGTAAAGCTGGTAGTAGGAATATTATTATTAGGTAGTTTAAGCTGGTGAATTAAGCAAAACAGAATACGAACGAGATACTCCTTCAATAAAAATTAAATAAAATGAATAAATTCTAAAACTACTTTGACATTGAGAATGACATTATTCATTAAAACTGATTGGGCGCAGAACTTTGAATGTTTTGATTTAAATAATCGCAACTTACGAGTAAATATTGTGAATGCCAACTTACCGATATGGCTATTTTTGTAGGTATTAAATACTCGTATTGACATATTCCGCATTTTTATCATCTTGGTCTTTTGCGCGGTATTATTGCACTTCAGAGTCTCAGACTTTAGTAAGCGAGCCCCTAGGAGTTAACCAATGATCTTAAACAGCTTGCTTATGACAAGATTTACCATCCAACAGGTGACGAAATGACGGGCTGACTTGCGCGTAGGCCTACGGCACACACAGTGTCCCAATTTGCCATAAAAACAAAAGCCTACGTCACTCGTCACATTGCATTTGAGAACATTTTAAACTGCATTTTGTTAATTATAAACTGATCTTGCCTTTCTATCAAATTAGTATATAATTGCGATCGTTTAGTAATATACGTGACGTGATAAGTTTGAGAAGCGCGGAACAACACCATTTGTCATTTTGTTGCTAAGCGCATGTATAACTACACTGAACCGTTATTTGGTATTGAGTAGCGAAAATATTTAAAGCGCAACTTAATTCAAAGTAAAACTAGCAAATTGCGCATTTAATCGTTACCATTTCCTGAAGCGCTGCAAACGTACACCGACGTTTATGAGGGCACTCCGAGTTTATGCTCCCCACTCTTACCAGCTTATTTCAACAGTCAGTGCAGCAAAGTACTGGAATACAAATTAACTGAAATATGCATTCCACTTGTATTTATGAGCTTAAAAGTTTAACCTCCATGTAGCTTTGAAATCTAATAGAAAAATATTGTAAATTGATCAAAAAGTACAGAAAATTGTATTGCGGTATCTAAAGGTACTTTAAGCCCAAGGACAATAGCCCTGTCATTATTCAAAATCAAAATCGAAATCAAAATCAAAATTATCTTTATTTGTTTAGACTAATTAAATTAGTTCTTGCAAATCGTCAAATGCTCTTAAGGAGCCTATACATGTCTCATTCTTTTTTTGCCCTACCAGCGCTTCGAGACAAACATTTGGCAAGTGCTGAGAAGAAGCGCCGCAACAAACTCAGTCACCAGTCTGTCTGCCGGTTTAAAAATATAAAAAATATAAAAAAGTAGGAAGTTACATACATTCAGAAGCAAGTTACTTACCACGCGCTCCCGTTGATAGAAGGTGGCCTTTAAGACGCCCATCTAGCACGAGAACGCGTGTCAGTTTTGAATATATTTCTTTAGTGCCGTGCTAATTTCTAGGTTAATTGTTGCGTTTTGAGACATATATTTTATGTCAGGTATATCTTTCCTTGACCAGTCCCCGAAGGCAGCGCCTGTTCACAGACATGACGTGTGAACCAGCCATCGCTTCACTCGACCATATTATAGGGAATGTAACGACCCGCCTCACACGCCACTACCCCAGAGACATTTTAGTGAGCATGACAAGTCTAAGATATCCTTCTGGCTAAGTGCCAGATATATTGAAGTTCGTACCGACTCGAGGGTCACTAGTTCAAATACTATTGCCGCTATACTACTGTGGTGAACCCACTCTTAACACCAGCATTTAACATAGCTGGAGGGATTAATTTGTTTTGATTGTATTACACAAATGACCACCATTAAGGATGTAAAATTTATCTAATTTAACGCTGACTTTACGTGCGTATTTAATCTTTAAGGCCTATTCAAACCTGAGCGATATTCACTGTCGCTGTGGGTAGAGGTACATACCGCGCGGGTTTCGCTCAGGTATTTAGTATCAAGTATCGCGGCTAGAGCGACCTGAGCGATATCCGCTGCCGCTGTGGGTAGAGGTACATAGGTAGACGGTAGCGAATACCGCTTAGGTCTGAACAGTATTATTACCGCATACCCACTGGGTTTTCTCTGCCGCAGACGGTAGCGAATACCGCTTAGGTCTGAACAGTAT